TATAATATCTTACTTTCCTGTTTTTATAGATAATCCTATTGAAGTTAATATTAATTAGAAGATTCATTTTGAAAATATTAGCTACAGGTGAAGCTACTGAATGGTCATTATTAAAAAATAATCAGGAATTATGTTATGGGAATGTTAATCAGATAGACTGGAAAGTTACTTGGCTTATTTTCCATTATTGCAAGGGATTTCACTGCATTAGCATGAGACTTAACTATTTATGGACATTTATAGCAAAATTATTTCACAAAATCCTTCCTTTAGGATCTATTCTAGCAATTAGAAAACCAAGACTCTACAAGGAAATGAAATGTATTATGAAGTGTAATAAAAAAGAAAATTGGAATCATTTATTTGAATGTAAGGCATATGAGATAGCTTGGAAAAAAATATTGGAGATTACAACAAAAGAATCTATAATTATATGCTTGAAACAAAAACAAATTAGAGGATAAGGTGAAGATTTTATTAAAAAAGTATTACAAAATATATTAGGAGTTACAGCAAAATCAGAAAAATTTCAAAAGTTTCAACAGTTGGCATTAGAAGTGAAAGTTGAAACTCTTTTAACAACAAAATTACAAAAAGATTTTAAAATATCTCTTACAGAGGCACAGACAATTATGGCTAATATTTTAATTAGATTTATCTTAGCATTTAAAGAATTAATATGGAAACCAAGATGTGAACAAGTTATTTTATGGGAAAAAAGAAGAGGCATTTCCAGGACAGATAAAATTACTTCAGAATCCAAGGAAAAGGACAATTCAAATCAACCTTCAGAATCCAAAGTAAAAGACAATTCAAATAAACTTTCAAATAAAGTTAAAAATCTACAAACAGGAAAAATAGATCAATTACAGAGGTCAGTCTCCTTGGTAAAGAAATCAATGGATACCTTTGTAAGGAAATACAAATGTGAGGATTGGATTCCGATAAAAAAGAAAATTGATAAGGTTATATTATACATGAGCAAGAAATTACTGGATTGATAGTTCCAAAATAATATTCTTATTCTGTTCTCAATTATATTTATAATTTCAGACATATATTCTATTACTAATTATATTTTATTAATATTTTTATTTTTATATTTATTTTTGTTTTTATTTTTGTATTTGTTGGTGTTTTTTATTTTTATTTTAATTATTATGTTTATAGTTTATAGTAGGTTATTTTAGTTTGCTTTTAATTACTTTTATTCTTAATTCTACTAGTAGTATAATATCTAATGTTTGATTGAACTGGCCTGGTGCTGGAAGTATCATTCATAGAATATTTGTGATTATTATGTAATCTGAATATATTCTAATAAAATGGTACATGATTCAACATTTAAAAAAAAAAATAAATAAAAATAAAAATAAAATTATTAATTTTAAAAATTATTTGTATTTTTATAAAAATTATATTAATTAAGAAAAATATATTTTTTTTATATCTGCAATATGTTGCATTTTCCTTTTTTTGGTAATTTTTATATACTAATTATGTTGATCATTTCAATCACATGATTTCATTAAGATTTTCCATTTTGGATCCTGACAACTTACAAATAAATTAAAAAAAAATTAAAAATTATTTTTATTTAAATAAATATATATATAATATTTTGTTACATATTTTATTTATAATATTTTCTAAAATAAAATGACAAAAAAAAAGTTCGTAATATATTAATATATAATATAAAAAATAATGAAATAATATATTTTTGTCTTTTTTTGCAAATTTATTAAAGATGACAAAACTGGTTTTAGATATTATTTTTGATTTATTTAATAAAAAGCATTTTTTTATTAAATAATTTGCAAAAAAATTTACTTTTTTTGAAAAATTGTATAAATCTTGTATAATAATTTTTTTGGGATTTGTGTAATATCATATGATATGAATTGATAAATAATAATATGCCATTTTAAAATATTACAAATAAGATATATAGTATGGTATTATAATTAAATTTGTCTTTTTTATTTTTATAAATTTTTATTTTTTTAATATAATATTTATATGTAATGTTAAAGTAACTTCTAATAATATATAATATATTAATTAAAATATTAAAAAATATATATATTACATTTAGCAAAATATAATAATTAATAAAATTATTGATTTTAGTTTCATGTAAATTTTTCTTTAAATAAAAAATATTGCTCTCTTTGAGTATAATTTATTAAAAATAAAATTATTGATTTAAAAATTATTTGTATTTTTATAAATTTTTAATGCAATATATATTATATAATATTAAATTAAATTCTAATAATATGTAATATATATTAATTAAAATTATTTTCATAAGTCTTTATTTTTACAATTTATACAATATAATATTAAAGTAACTTCTAATAATATATATTGCATTAATAAAGGAATATGTTTTTTTTGCACTTGCAATATATCGCATCTTCTTTTTTTGGTAATTTTTATATATTAATTATATTGATCATTTTGATTACTGACACTTTATTAAAATTTTCTATTTTTCAAAAATCCTAGCATGAGACTTTATGCAATTACTATATATTATAAGAAATCTTATATTATGTATATTTTTGACTGCTCTACAAGTTTTCTTAATATATTAAAAAGGATTTAGAATGTCATTTTTGACTTTTATATTTAATATATTATAGGAGTGCAACATAATACAGATGCAATAAAAAATAAATCCTTAATTAAAATATTAAAAAAAATTATATTAAAATTAACAAAATATAATAATGATTAATAAAATTATTGATTTTAGTTTCATATAAATTTTTTTGTAAATAAAAGATATTGCTTTCTTTAAGTATAAATTATTTATTTTTGTAAATTTTTAATACAATATATATCAATATTATATAATGTTAAAGTAGAGCTCCAAAAATGATTCGCATAAACTCGCATTTTTGACTCGCATAATTGTAAATTTTCGTTTAATTATATTCTAACTTAATAAATAGTACTTTAAAATTAAGGTTTTTGACTCGTGACTTGACTCAACTCGACTCATTAGGAGCTCTATGTTAACATATATAAATTATTTTATTTTATAAATTTTATTTTTAATATAATATAGTGTAATGTTAAAGTAACTTCCAATAATATGTAATATATATATAAATTATTTTATTTTATAAATTTTTATTTTTAATATAATATA